TATATAATAAATTGTTAAAAAAAAATAAAGGAACACTTTTTAATCAGAGTATAGCATCAAGTCAATTAAACTCCTGGGATATTGATCTGGTCAGTTAGGTAGCAGAGGGGTTTATTAATCAGTTTCAGCTGCTTTGGTGTTAATGAAATTAACAGGTGCATTAGATGGGCAACAATGAGACGACCCCCAAAACATGAATGGTTTTACAGGTGGAGGCCACTGACCTTTTTCTTTACGTATCTTTTCTGACTGGTTTTCACTAGTTTTGCATTCGGCTAGGGTCACTGTCACTGCTGGTAGCTCCTGGTGGTGATACCTGGACCCTATAGAGGTTGCACAGGAAGTCCAACTCCTCCAGGATGGCACATCAATATATGCCATTGCCAGAAGGTTTGTTGTGTCTCCCAGTACAATCTCAAGAGCATAGAGGAGATTCCAGGAGACAGGCAGTTACTCTAGGAGAGCTGGACAGGGCCGTAGAAGGACCTTAACCCATCAGCAGGACCGGTGTCTTCTCCTTTGTGCAAGGAGGATGAGCACTGCCAGAGCCCTACAAAATGACCTTCAGCAGGCCACTGGTGTGTATGACCAAACAATAAGAAACAGACTTCATAAGGGTGGCTTGGGGGCCCGACGTCCTCTTGTGGGCCCTGTTCTCACTGCCCGGCACCATAGAGCTCGATTGGCATTTGCCATTGAACACCAAAATTGGCAGATCTGCCACTCGCAACCTGAGCGTTTCACAGTTGAGAGCAGGTTCACCCTGAGCACTTGTGCCAGACGTGAAAGGGTCTGGAGAGGCCGTGGAGAACAATATGCTGCCTGTAACATCGTTCAGCATGATGATGGCACCCTGACTGCTATTAGGTATCGGGATGAAATCCTTGGACCCAATGTCAGACCCTACTCTGGTGCAGTGGGTCCTGGGTTCCTCCTGGTGCATGGCAATGCCCAGCCTCATGTGGCGAGAGTATGCAGGCAGATCCTGGAGGACGAAAGAATTGATACCATTGAATTACCCCCAACCCTTGCTTGACCTAAATCCAATAGAACACCTCTGGGATATCATATTTCGGTCCATCTGACGCCACAAGGTTGCACCTCAGACTGTCCAGGAGCTCAGTGATGCCCTGGTCCAGATCTGGGAGGAGATACCCCAGGACACCATCCGTCATCTCATTAGGAGCATGCCCCAACGTTGTCAGGCATGCATACAAGCACATAGGGGCCCTTTAAACTGCTGAGTACCATTTTGAGTTGTTGCAATGAAATTTCAGCAAAATGGACTAGCCTGCTACATCATCATTTTTCACTTTGATTTTTGGGGTGTCTTTGAATTCAGTCCTCTGTAGGTTGATAATTTTCATTTCCGTGAAACGATGGGGCTTCCTTATGTTCCTAACACATTACCCAGTCCATATCAGTATAGATATCCAGCATGAAATTTTTCCCCGTTGAGATCCGATGTGTTTCGAAGTGTTCCTTTTAACTTTTTTGAGAAGTGTATTATTACATCCAGATGTCTGAAGTCTTACCTGACCAGGAAATGAATTTGCTGCCACCATTGTAGTGAGACCTTTAGCACCTGCTGACAGGCATATCTTTGCTACTTATGTCACTGAGTCATTTCCTTCTTCATGTTTAAATAGAACAACATTCCCTGCATTAAGGAAAAAAAAATAAGTTTTACCACTTGCTGTTCACCTCCACGCCCTTAAACACTTACTTGACACCACTCACAATCCAGCGCTGTCCCTGCCCTCAACCTCACTATCCTTCCTTCCTGCATTCACAGGCTTGACTTAGAGCAGCGGGAGGCATTGGCCATAGACTCATCAAAATCTGTCCAGTTCAGCTGGAACCTGTCGATCGACTTCAGTACAACCAACTTTTTTTTTTTTTTTTTTTTTCATTCAACCACTGCTAGCAGCTATATCCTCCTGCAGTGATCATTATATTCTGACGTCTGTGAACCCTCCTGCTGTCAAAGTACAATAGTGCAGCGGGAGGGATTCGCCCATCAATCCTGACTGTGTTAATGTGGGATTCAAGGAATTTTCTTTCGTTATGGAGAAAATCGCATATCGTATCGCCTGCCTAAAGCTTCTGTCAGCCTTCCTCTCTAGCTAAGCCAAGACATATAATCAAGGATGGAAATGTACATATTTTAATTACAGAAAGTGAAATATAGTTTTTGAGAGCAAAGAGAGGGGGAGAGTTTCCCTTAAGGATTGACTGCTCTGGGCTTCAAAAAAAATGGCAGTTTCCAGCATGAAGAAACAGGAGCAATGCAGGAGGCAATTTACAGCACCATCTACTTATGTCTGGATAATTACTGATTTGCAATATATGTTATTTTGTTAGAACATTAATTGTTAAAGTTCTAACAAAATAACAGGGTAAAGTTCTGCTTTACATTGCAAAGGCAGCAGCTGGGGTGTACACATGCCAGACAGTACCGCCCGCTGCACTTTATTTTGGCTGGAGATGGGTTTTAAGCCTCCCCTAATCTATCCAAAACGATTAAAAAAAAAAAAAAATAAAGTTTGGGCTTTAGACAAAACCTAACCCCTTAATCCAGCAACTCCTGGCCCTTTAAGAGGTTTTGGATGCCGGGAAGCAGGGTGGGGTTTTAGATCATGTGACTGCCGTAGCGATCGAGAGCTTTTTGTCAGGATCCGGTAATCGGGATTGTGCAGGGCATGTGCTCTAGGCACATGTTTGTTTACAAGGCCCACCCCAACCCGAGAGGTTGCATATTTGTGAACTGACAGCACAAACATGTTAACTAAAGTGCAACACTTTTATATACTGTAAATAACAGTAACCCCCTTGTTCACATCTACTTGGTCTGTTGTACCTCTTAAAAATGCAGGGAAAAGGTCCATACACCTTTTCCAAAAATATGGCTGCAGGGAAACTGCATAGTGCAGTGTGGCTTCCAGTGCGTGGTGGTGCCATTCGTATTAATGGTACCCCTCTCACACATCTCCTAAGCAGCAGTGCATTTTGCTCTGCAGGTGCGGGAAGGTGTGCGATTACACACCTTCCCACACCCGGGGAGGGAGGGGCAGAGGGTACCTGAATTTTGACAAGTACCCGCTGCCACTTCCGCGGAGTTGTCCTCCCTTTAGTGTGGGCACCCGGCTGACAGCTAGGTGCCCAGTGCGCATGCGCGAGAAGCGCTGCACTTTGTGATTGGTCCAGCGTCTTTTGGGACCTGTCCTGTCACAGAAGACACCGTACTATGCATTGGGCACCCGGCTGTCACAGCTGAGAGCCCACACTAAAGATGCCGACGCGGGAAGCCTTCTCAGTACTGGACCGAGGAACAGGTAAGGTCCTGCTGCAGAGAAGCGACGAGCTGCCGGCCTGATATTCTGACGCGGCGGTGAGAATACCGGACCGGCCCCTCCATAAGACGCACTGACATTTTCCCCCCTTTTTGTGTCTTATGGAGCGAAAAATACGGTAGTTGTTGCTACTACCATCCTAGCTGTGATCTTTCAGCTCCTTTGCAAATGGCTTTCTTTCTGCACACTGGCCACAGGGGTCACTCTTGCTCAGCACCCCATCATTCATAGAAGCCTTTTTTTTTTTTTTTTTTTTTTTTCATGAATGCAAAGCAATTCCTGATTGGATGAGGAGGAGCTTGTGGTATCACTACCCCTCCCCTTCAGTTTTACCAATTAGGGAATGCCTTGTTCTCATTGAAAAAAATAGAAGGCATCCTTTGAAAGGCAGCAGTGCCGAGCAAACAACCCATATGGGGTCCATTTGCAGAGGAGAAGCTGCTCACACAGAACATCAGCGGGGACCCAGAAAATCACATCTCACTATAGTAGAGCCGACCACTACAGTGTTTGAGCTTCTGCATTGATCCATCATGTATGAGATATGCACAATTACATTGTGCCAAGATGGACCAATAGAAGTCTCCAGTCCAAATAATTCCGGGAGTTCAGCTTTAAGAACAGTCTGTATTGATGATTACCAGAGAAGAATTCATTTTTATCTTACATACCACTTTCAATTTGGACGGAAGCTACTTCTGAAAATAGCTGTGTTATTGATTTGGTCATGTACAGGTTTTGTGACTTTGTTTGCTCTTCAGACTTGTTTAAATGCCATTACTTTGCTTTATCGACATTTTTCTAGGATGCTGGCAGCAAGAAAAAGAGCTTTAGTTAAAGTGGGGTGCTTTCCTTGTGCTCACGTTTTGCTTTCATGGATTTGCATCCACCACGAGATGAACAGATCTCCCTTGATAATAGACCCTGAACATTGCTAGAATTATATCAAACAATGCTAATGAGTGCTAAACAGTGAAAATGGAAGACTGTGTCAGAGAGGAGATAATGGGACTTACAGATTCAGCTGCCTTGTAAAACATGCATTTTGTTTTTTTTCCTCCATTGGTGGGTCTTTGTGATAGTAGTAGCTTGGCTTCCTACTCTCATTAAAATATCTTCATAAACTCCATCACAGTGAAAGTAACAATACTAGAGGATTTCAATAAACAGACATTTTTGAGGCAAGTTGACATGTTCTTCAGCACCCCCCAAAATAATTAAAAGACAGCAGCTACAGATACTGTACCCACTGATTTTTAATTAAAGGACACTTACCTGTCCAGGGGTCCAGCGCTGTCCTCACCCAAGCCAGTTTTTAGCCAGTCTACGGGTCCGCCATGCCTGCTAATGATTCCTTGCGACTTCACAGCCAACTTCACAATTCTCATGTGCAAATCGCACTGCTTGTGTGAATAGTCCTGCAGCCTTCTGGGACCTGTGATGTGTCCCAACTGGCTGTGGGTGAGAAAGGAGCTAAAGTTCTACTCGGACCAGGTACCTGCTTCTGCCCCCCCAAAAAAGAGAAAAGTTGAAGACGGGGAGGTCCCACTTTTATGTCTTAACCACTTCCTGTCCGGCCCATGTACATAAACTGCCAGACGGGAGCAGTGCCGAAGTGGGTCACCGTTTATAAATGGCTCCCGCATTCACTGCCTGGGAGCACATGGCACTGCGATCTGGTGCCTGCATGTGTCCAAACACCACGGAACACCGATCACTGTACGGGACCTCTGTTTGGCCAATTGGTGGTCACTTAAATAGTAGTAAGCAAGATGTCGTTTCCTGACATCATTGCTTACTACTAGTGAAATCTGTGAATGATCAGAGGTCACATGGTACAATGCTATTCACAACAGCCTTGTACCATGTGACAAGCTGTGACCAATCACAGCTTGCACAGTATTTATCAGTGACTGCAAGAATGCAGCCAGAGAGGAGAAACAATTGCTTTTACAGCCTTTATGGGTGGAAAAGCAATCGGTGTAGAAAAAAAAAAAAAAAAAAAAAAAAACCTTCATCACCCCCCATAAGTAGTACAGTGTCACTATGGTGTCACTGTACTGCTAGGGTGACAGTATGTTAAAAAAAAAAAAAATAAAAAAATGTAATTTTTGGTTATAAACTAATTTGGGTTAAATTTTTTTTTTTTTTTTTTTTTTTTTTTTTACTAAAAATCTGAATACATTTTGGCCAAGATTTCTGAAGAAATATTATTTATTTCCAAAATTTTATAAGAAAAACTTTTTTTTTTTTTCAAAATGTTTGGACGTTTTCATTTATATAGCAAAAAAATTAAAATCCCAGTGGTGAATAAATACCACTAAAATAAAGTTTTATCTGTCTCAAAAAATTCATATGGGTACAGTGTTGCATGACCACGCAATTTGTCATTCACAGTGTGGTAGCATTGAAAGCTGAATATTGGCCTGGACTGGAAGGGGGTGAAAGTGTCCGGACCTGAAGTGGTTAAAAGAAGTCTCATTGACCTCTTTTACATGAGAGCATTGTGGTGTTAAAAGGGCACATAGAAAACAATTGTAGTGTGTACAAGCCCTTAGCACCATGCGTTTGTTGTGTTAAGGTAAGCCTATTAATGTTGAATGGGCTGCCACTATATTACAGCACAGCAAAAAAGAGGACATGGACCAATATTGCTGATGCAGGGGCACAGTTTGTGTGGTGTTTTGTGCCGCAGTGCATGTGGTAATGCATTGGGGCTCAATATAGAATGAATGGCTCTGCACCTCAGTTCATGTTTTGCCGTGTATTGCGGGACTTAATTAGTGTAACTCGTAAATGTGACTGGGCCCTTGAATAATGTAATGTCATCTTTGTCATTAGCCCTTATGACTGGAATAGCAAAGTTGTTGTTTTTTTTTTTTTTTTTTTTTTTTTTTTTTTTTGTTTTGTTTTTTTTAACCAATTTCATACCCGGCAATTTTACCCCTTCCTGCCCAGGCCATTTTTCAGGTTTCAGCGCTCTCTCACACTTTGAATGACAATTGCGTGGTCATACAACACTGTACCCAACTAAATTTTTATAATTTTCTTCACACAACTAGAGCTTTCTTTTGGTGGTATTTAATCACCGCTGGGGTTTTTTTATTTTTTTGCTAAATTAACAAAAAAAAAACCAAAAAAGTTGAAAAAAAAAAAAACACGTTTTTCTTTGTTTCTGTTATAAAAGTTTACAAATAAATAATTGTTCTTCATAAATTTAGGCCGAGATGTATTCTACTACATGTCTTTGGTGAAAATAACCCAAATTAGGATGTATTTTTTAGTTTGTAGGAAAGTTATAGAGTTCACAAACTATGGTATAGATCTGAATATTGATCAGTCCTGAAGTACTGACGGCCAATCTAATTTCTTAAGGTCCAAGAATGTCAGAACAATACAGATATCCCCCAAATGACCCCTTTTTGTAAAGTAGACAGTCCGACGTACTTCATAAGAGGAATGGCAAGTTTTTTGAAGTTTTTTTTTTTTTTTTTTTTTGTCGTTTTTCAGAAAATGAAAAAATAATTTTCATTTTTTTTTTTTTTTTACATATTGTCACCAGTGCAGTACAGCATCATCATATAACTGGCATGGCGGTGAACAGGGACACTGACTGGTGACAGTATGAGGAAAAAAAAAATATATATTTTTTTTTTTTTTCTTTCATATTTTACTATGACCAAAGTAGTACAATGTTACCATAGTAACATTGTACTACTTTGGGGAAGTGATCAGTATTTTTTTTTTTTTTTTTTTACACAATTTGCTTATAGCAAAGAATTACTTTTGCTATAAGCAAGCATTTACCTGAATGACATCAATTCATTCAGGGGTTTGTTTTTTTTTTTTTTTTTTTTGTGTGCTTAGCTGTGATTTGGCCACAGCTAATCACATGACATGTGCATGTGACCTGCTGTGACCATTCACAGCTAGACACTAGTATACAATGGATGGCATGAATGAAGCCATCCATTGTATACAACTGTCATGTGACCTGCTGTGATAGATCACATGGTACCTGCAATAGGGGCTGGTACTCAGATCTGTCATCGGCCGTGTCCGAGGTACACGGCCGGTGACAGATCGTGCCGCTGCGCGGCTCTGAAACTGCGCATGTGCGGGAGGACGCCAAATGGCGTACACCCCGGAAAGCTAATGCATTTTTGCGGCCACCAAACGGCTATAGGGCGGCAAAGGCTAAACTAGAGAAGTAGGCTATATGATTTTCTTTTTTTTTTTTTTTTTTTTTTTGTGAAAGTGGTACATATGTGGAAGAATAACTTTTATTTATTCCAGGATCATGGATTCCCTACTTGATGATGATATTTGTATTCTGAATCATGAAAATGAAGACTTTACGAAGGGAAGAGATCAGGACACTCCATTTTCTGCTTCCTCAGGAGAGGCATCTGTGGCCTCACATTTTGCACTGGTTACAGCATATGAAGACATAAAGAAACGACTGAAAGATACTGAAAGGGAGAATTACACGTTAAAGAGAAGGCTAAGACAAATGGAGGATAAGGTATCATTCACAGGAGACAAATGGTATTTGTCTTGGATGTGTTAAAATTTTGATCTATATTTGCTCTCTTTACCTGTGAGGACATGCGAGGATAGGTAAATGATGCTGACAGACTGCTGGAAAACAGGTTAAACATCTGTTTTGCCACGTTTGCATAACACGTTTATGTGCGTTTGCATTTAGAAGCGTTTTTTTTTAAAGATAAGCACAGGAGAACTTCCCAAATGCGCAGAATGCACTGCAAAGTGGTAAATTATTAACTATTGCAGACTGTTTCACAGAAATACAGAGAGTAGAAGCAGAGACCGTAGTATGTGTTGAGATTACCTTAGGTGTGAGTTGCTCATTAACATTTCTTTTGTTTCCAAGGGTGGGAAAGGTGTCTGGTGGAGTGAGTCATTAAGGCCACCTGGCAGGGGGTCTTTATGAGGAATTTGAGGTGTGAATGGTCATTAACATATCTTTTGTTTCCAAGGGTGGGAGAGGTCTGAGGTGTGAATTGGTCATTACAATGTGTGACAAGCTTGGTAGGAACATCCTGTGTTAAGTGTTTTGTCCATCTGAGTACCTTGAAAACTCTTTACATGCATGTTTCATGATGAAAAAAGGCTCTGAACAGCATCGGGAACTGGAAGAGTTAAAAAAAAAATTACAGACGCAAACGCTTATAAACGCGATTGGTAGTGCTTAGCCGCGTTTAGAAGAGTTTTGTGTTTGAAACGCTGATAAAATCAACTGCTGAACACAAGTTTTCTGCGTTCAAAAAAAACGACTGTAAACGAAGATGTGTACATGGACACATAGGAAAACATTAGGGTGAGTTCAGGGGACTGCTGAAAAAAACGCTGTACAGCTCCTAAAGGATCAGCTGCAGTGTACAGGAGCCCTAAATGAGTAAGACCTTGTGCATACGGGGCGTTTGTCCATTTCTCCTAGATACTATTCCTCCTGGAAGCAGCGTTTTCCAGAAAAAATGTTTGACTCTTGCAAATGCCTGTAACACTTTTTTAGGTGTGTCAAATATTTAATACTGAATTAGTGCGTCAACCGTTAATTCTTTTCATTGGCCAGCATAATCATTTTTTTTTTTTTTTTTTGGCCATTAAAATGAATTAACGTTCAAGCACTGAGCACGCCTAGTGTTGGCGTGCATTTAGACACGTCAAACCGGGTTTTCTGCCAAAATGCTGCTGCTCCTGGACACGCTGGCAGTGTGTTTTTTTTTTTTTTTTTTTTTTTTTTTTTCTCTTTCTTCTGTAATCGCTACTGTCTCTAAGTGCCTATGTGTGCGTGGACACCTAGGCTAACATGTAGGGGTGTTTAGAGGCAGAAAAAAAAGCCAGACGCCCCTAGCAACATTAAAAACGTCCAGTGTACATGAGGCCCAAGACACTCCATGTGGCAGAGGGTTAACAAACTTTAAAGCCCAACTGAAGTATGTTTAACCACTTCCTGTCCTGCCCATATATATATATAAAACGGCCGGACGGGAGAATTGCAGGAGTGGGTGGCCGTTTATAAACTTGCTCCCCGCCTGTGCGTGCTCCCTGGGACACTGATCGCTGTACGGGACCTCTGTGTGAAGTCCCGATCATGTGATCACTGATTGGCCAATCAGTGATTGCATGAATAGTAGTAAGCAAGATGTCACTTCCTGACATTGCTTACTACTAGTGAAATCTGTGAATGATCACAGAGATCACATGGTACAAGGCTATTCACAACAGCCTTGTACCATGTGACAAGCTGTGACCAACGGCCTCCCTGATTGTGCACGCTCCCTGGGAGTGCGAAACACCGCGATCTGGTGCCCGCTGTGTCCTCCTATTCACAACAGCCTTGTACCATGTGACAAGCTGTGATAAATCACAACTCGCACAGTATTTCTCAGTGACTGCAAGAATGAAGCCAGAGAGAAGGAGAAATGATTGCTTTTACAGCCTTTATGGGTGTAAAAGCAATCACTGTAAAAAAAAAAAAAAAAAAAAAAAAAAAATCTTCATCACCCCCACAAGTAGTACAGTGTCACCATGGTGACACTGTACTGCTAGGGTGACAGTATGTTAAAAAAAAAAAATGTCCAAAAATTTTTTGAAAAATTATATCTTTTGGTTATAAACTAATTTGGGTTATTTTGTTTTTTTTTTTCTTACTAAAAAGAGAGATGAATACATTTTGGCCAAGATTTATGAAGAAAGATTATTTATTTGCAAAATGTTATAAGAAAAACTTTTTTTTTTTTTTTTTTTTCAAAATGTTTGGAATTTTTCATTTTTATATAGCAAAAAAAATAAAAATCCCAGTGGTGAATAAATACCACCAAAATAACGTTTTATCTGTCGCAAACAAATGCTAAAAAAGTCATACGTGTACAGTGCTGCATGACCGCGCAATTATCATTCAAAGTGTGATAGCGCTGAAAGCTGAAAATTGGTCTGGACAGGAAGGGGGTAAAAGTGTTTGGACTTGAAGTGGTTAAATATGAGTGAAAATTATTTATTATTGGGTTTTATGTAGTACTGACAATTTATGCAGTGCTTTACATATTGTTCAGATCAGTCGCTGCCCTCAGGGAGCTTCCAATCTTAGGTCCCTTACGCTCATTCCTACATACACAAACTACGGCCAATTTAGAGAGGAGCCAGGTAACCTGCCAGCATGTCTGTGAAAGGAAACCCACGCAAATACAGGGAGAACTTGCAAACTCCATGCAGTTACTGTATGTTATAATGAGGGCTTTACTTTTTGTTTTTTGTTTTTTTTTCTCTCATCCTTTTAAAAGACAAGTTAAAAGTGCAATGGTGGAAGGGGGGTGGGGCAGGTTAGAGACACAAAGAAAAGTAGGACAGTAAGAAGAATGGTTTGTCTCCCGGTTAGAAACCTACACTTTACCCTTTGCTGTGATCAGACTCAAAGAAGGGTCAAGAAAGACAGAACTTTTGCTTGATGCTTCTCTGATGTCTGTTTTTGTGACAAGAGTTTATAAAAAATGTAAATAATTTATAGTGTAGCTCTACCCTTTTACATGCATACATAAAATGATTATTTTAAATCCACAATCCTAGTGCTGCTGCAAATCTTTAAAAACACTAAATATATCTAGATAGATAGATCCGTATATCTATCTCTATATATCTAATAGCATACTACAAGTTAATAAATTAATGCATCAACATTATGTATCCCTGAAGAAGTCACATGACCAGTGACGCAACACGTCAGATTAAGCTGGGTAACGCCACTTTCAGTTTCAGCCGGGACCAGAAGTAGGTGAGAGAATACCGCAAATCTGATGTAATGAGGGGTAGCAGACACTGTGCTGAGTGTCCATTGTTTTTGTTTGGCATTACTTTACTAAAGTGAGAGTTTTCTCATTCCCAGTACGGTGTTACACTATTGGCAGTCCTTTTTTTCTTTTTTTTTTGAGTACCACTAGTTAACAACCACAGAAGGGAAAATCTCTTAAAGGGACACACCCACATGGACCCATACGTGGGAAGCAGTGAAGGAAGATTGACCCATACTTAAATGGATTAAAGGATAAGTTTACCTTTGGGAACATTTTAGGGTGGAACATGTTCCTGATCCTTCAGCTGCTCCTTGATCCCTGCACTCCCTGTGACAGCAGTACAGAGAGAAGTTCCCCATACTAACTGTCACTTTTTAAAAACCGTGCCCTGCTGTTTACTTTGAAAACAGGGAGCCCTGCACGGCTGCGTCATTCATTCAGTTTTGTGATTGAACTACAAGTCCCAACAGCCTTTGCAGCTATCAGCTTGTAGTTCTTAATGAACTACCACGGCGCTGTGGAGCACTATGGTAGTTCATCGAGTCTGGTAGTTCGAGTCTTCCTGTCAGACTCTATTTGCTTGCCTGTGTGGGATGTACAGCACACAGATACACTGACAGTCTGCAGGAGTCCTGCATTGCACCAGCGATCTGCTAATCGCTGGTGCAGTGCTTTCCAGGCTCCAATGGAGTTGAGCTGGCCATACACTGATCAGATTTTGTCTGGTTCCTGCTGACATCCTTCCTTTGAAAAAAATGAAGGAACCAGGAAACAATTTGTCGTCTGAAACAACAACTGAATCTAATCCTATGCAGCCTCTGATCAGCTGCTCTGCCGTCAGCAACAGCAGCAGCCTCAGTAGGTTATTCATCCACCCTTGCTGTGTAGTGTGGATGGAAGAATCTGTTAGATTTTGTTTTCTGTCTGCAGGCTGAAGGAAAAGATCTGTGTGTAGCTAGCCTTAGAACCCTTGTCAGGTGATTATCACTGTTTGTGTTTTCCTATCTCCTTGATAACAGCTCCCTGTGACAACAGCTCCTCTCTGTTACATGGACAGGACGTGAGGTGAAATCCCTTCAGTGGGGTCATGGACAGCAATAAAAATTTGACAAAAGCAGTAATTGTCCTGAAGGCTATCCAAAAAAAGAAATTTTTATTTATTTCAGGTGCTTATATAGCTCTGTCAATTTTTGCAGCGCTTTACACATATATTGTACATTCACATCAGTCCCTAACCCTCAAGGGGTGTACAATCTTAGGACCCTAACTTACATTCATACATACACATACTAGGGCCAATTTGGACAGGATCCAATTAACCTACCAGCATGTC